ATGTAGACCACCAGGTCTAAACCCACGGATGAATACAGTAGGTTTTTACTACTACTTCATGTATCTGTGCCATCACCACTGTGACCTCGGGTCATTGTGAATTTCACACACACTCAGACACAGACACACTCACTTACCTGGAGTGTGTACTGGCTGAGTGTAGGCTGGAGGCGGAAGGTGGTCCGTGGCCCCTCACCTCCCACAAGGCCATAACGCAGCACAATCTGATCGATCTTTGCCTTTGGCGGCGTCCACTCCACAAATGCCACGGTGTCTGACACGTCCCGTACGATCAGCTGAGTGGGGCCATCAATCACTGTGGGAACGCAAGAGTGTTTCTTTGTTATTGTTATGAACAAAGCAGAGTCACCGAGGTGGAATCTCTCAGTGTTTGACATTTCCCCGCCATGATTTCTTTCTCTGAGGTTAAGTCTTTGTTAAGACTACAGTAAGAAAACACGGTTGAAAAAAAATCAAATTAAATTCAATGTTTAGTAAATAAACATCTATGGTTAAAATTAAAAAAGGAAAAAATAAAAACTGCAGGGACAGTCCTTAAAAGTATTGTGTAACAAAAATGTCATTAAAGTCCAGATTAACATCTAACAACTTAAAGGTTTTTTAAATGAATTAAATCTAAATAAACTCTGTCTTACACAAATTTTAATTAACTGGCAAACTGGACGTGTCAGTTTGATTACCCAGTTTCCACATTTTCCAGTTGGACAAATGAAGTCATTAAACCTTCATTTATTCGAGGCTTGAATTAAGGATGCACCGACCCCAGTGTTCTTATTGGTATCGAACCTGACACTTTTTATTCAAATAATCTTACTCCAAGACGCGCCGATTCAGCAACTCAACTTTTCAATACGACCAGCTGGTCAGCTGGTGTTATAACTGCAGTTCACTGTGTCTCATTGTCCTCATGGTGAGTTTAAGTAGGTCAACAACGTCAGCAGTTTGGAGGGATTTTGTCCCTGATGTTGAGACTTATACAGTAACACTGTGTGTGTGTCTTTGCTTTCATTGATACATGGTTATAGTACTGCAATCCACCTCTGTTTATATTTGGTTGTATACTATGTAGTATTACTAAATACTGTCTAATGTGACGGCCAGGTCAGTTTGAAGACTGTTTTGTTTTTTTCCATATTTTGTGGTGAAATATCCTACTGTTGATGAGAAGAAAAAACTGTCCTCATCATTCCCCACACAGCTCTGCCTGTCCCTATGTAAAGGTGCCTGCCACTGCATTGCACATTTATGTAACCTCACCTAAAGAAGTATCTGCGCAGGTACTCTGTGAAATGCACAAATGAAAATACAGTACTCGTATCTTTTTACTGCCGGATGCTCCGTGGCTGTGCAGCAGCCGAGGATTCGTTATCAGGAAACAACCAGACATGTAAAACCTCATCAGACCTGTCTCCTGCTGAGGCAGTTGGCCTTATCTACGCAATGTGTAAATCCTGGACACTGATTAAAGCATCTCCAGGCTACGCTTACTGGGGAAAAAAAAAACAAAAAACATTTTATTTATTTTTATAATACAACCTGCTGTTGTAAGTTAAAAAAAATGAAAGACAAGAAAAGTACATTTCACACACTCCGCAGTACCAATATTTTACTATAGCATCACCGTTGAGCCTCACACTCTGTGCTTTACTTATTGCAGGTCAACCCTGATTTTTCATGTATTAGAAATTGGTCCCTGTGGTCTTGTCCTAGAAAATATCTTAAAGAGACCAGTTTCAAACATCCTCTGGTTTTATGTAAGACTCACCAACACATCCTGACTCCACCTCCAGGGAAGGATAAATCTTCTTTCTAAATAATTAAGCACCTTCAAATTTGTGTTTTTTTTTCTTTCTTTTATTTATCCAATAAGGTGACCTGTGCAGTGGACACTAATGAAAAATGTATGACATGGTGCGATAAATTATTAATTAATACTTAACCAGAACCTACAAAATCAGCAGAAGATAGCAGATCAATCCAATCAAAGAAACTCTACAATAATTACTACAATTTCCTCCATCAGTGGAGCAGAATATTTGTTTCACAGTTTGAGCATGGTGTTTAATTGATGGATAAATACTGTATATATAATACTGTATGTATAAGGTACTTACAGGTTGTGACGGTTGCTGTTACTGGCTGACTTCGACCCTGATCCCTCAGTGCCACCAGGTTAACTGTGTACTCTTCTCCTGGTCTCAGACCCGTCTGCACATATGAAGTGATGGTGCTGGGCAGCTGTGCAGTCATTCCTCCATCATTGTCCTGGAGGCGTAAAACACACCGACAGCTCAGAGACCAAACTCTAACTCTGTAACTCTGCTGCATTTTAGGAGGAAGTGTCAGCTATGGTGCTGCACTAACAATCATGCAGAGAGGTATGTTAAAACTATGACTTTTTAAACTTATTTGTAAACTTCTGATGGTAAAGCACATTAGGGTTTCCAAACTGCACTGCATTGCAAAAAAAAAAAGAGTTGATTTGAGTGATATTTTTCTTTTCTGCGGAGGCAGCGATCTGTACTCCACTAAAAGCCTGTCACTCATCCATCCAGAGCCCCTGCTATTCCCAGCTGTTCATACGGAGCCTGTGTTGCACATGCATTTTCTGCCAACAAACAGATGTTTGCCTGCTACTGCACCAACGTCCCCAAATGCCTGCACCGTGCCGGCTCGTATTGAGGGGGAAAGACACAACAGCCTGCACCTTTCCTGATTCACAACTGTAATTAGAGATGTACCATTTAATCACTTCAACTAAATTACTGGGGTGGGCAGCAGCACACGGTGGTAATGTTCCAGTAACAACCGGTGTTCAACCGCAATCATAACGCAGTTAAATAGAGGTGATGCCAAATTGTACAAAATGAATCACCATAATTGTATATCCTTTCATCTCCACTGTGTCACTTTGCTCATAATTACCCATCATTCAGCTGCTGACAGGGCTGGAAAAAGATTGTTGTGCAAGTGGTTTATTTGATTGGATCTAAAAGTAGTGAAGTTTAGATTTTAAGGCCGAATATTCTGGAATATTGTGTTGCTGAAACAAAACAATTTGCTGAGTTTGTGATTATTAAAGTTCAATCTAATCTGATCTATTGAATCTATCCTTGAAGTTCAAGGATTCAAGGCTTCATTTGTATTTTACATACAATTTAAAAGTAACATTAGAATATTAATGTGGAGATAACGTCATCATTTACTCTCATAATCAAATCATGAGCAACAACTGCTGTTAATATATGAAACACATATTGATAAAACAGTTCTACTGTTGTAATCAGAAACATGTGACACAAGACCAGGCTACAAAGCACAGCAGACATCCAATGCTAAACTGTAGCTCCCCCTCCTCCCCCCTCCTCTCCCCTCCTCTCTTCTTCTCCCCTCTCCTACCCTCCTCTGTTTTCTTTTCACACCACACTAAGTCCTCTGTTTGTTCACCAAGGCCAAAGCCACCATGCCTTCTTTCATTATGAGATTGTCAAAATTCAAAATCCCTCATGCTGGATTAGATCCACAGGTTGCAAGACTGCCAACCCATAATATGATTTCCCCTGTGGCTAAAGCAAGAGAGCGAGAAGGAGAGTGGAGTGGTGCTGGAGAGAGTTACTAATGCAGAAAAGGGAAAAAAGACCAGAAAATCAGACAGAAAAAAGAGGGTGAGGTGAAGGTGAAAAGATGGAGTGAAGTGTATCCTGGTGTTGGATGGAAATTAAATAAAGACAAGAAAGGATGAGACAATGACAGCTGGTCGAGGGAGAGCTGCTTGATCAAAGGAAGAGCTAGAAATAATGAAATAAACACATTAAGAAAGATTGTCTCCTTCAAAGGACCAGGAATAAACACAGAAACTTCCCAGTGATGCTAAGACGTTTGTATGTGTGATTCAATGCACAGAATCGGGTCCAGAATCTAAGAAGAATACAGACCCCTGAGAGGGTCTTCAAGGAGAAAACCAATTACTGGGAGAGGGCATGAGATTAGAGTGTTGGGAATAGTCAACGTTAGAGCAGGGATTAGGAAAGTGAAGGCTTTTGGCTTTTAGGCTTTCATCCTTTCAGCCTGGTCCTGCTGTGTTTTTGAAAGTGCCTTCTTTAAGGTTCAGAAATCTGAAAGCCTTATTTTTGGTACTGGGTTAAAAATGCTTTAGTTCCATTTTCCATTCCATCCACAAACACACTTTCCTGTTTATATTATCATTATTATTCTGATGAGCTGGTTTACCTGACAAGACAATGAAGATAATTCATTTGCGCAGCATGTGCTCTCACAGTCATACAGCGGTGGTGAGTGTTACAGCACGTTCACGTCTCTTTACCTTAGGAATGAAGCTGATCTCCCATCCATCGAAGGAATAGTAGAAAGGTTGCCAGTGGACCTCGACCGACGTCTCGGTGATGGATTTGAAGACTAAACCATCCGGATTAGAGAGATCTGGAGAGTTAGCCGGAGACGCATTATACTTTAGCGGCCCACACAGCCCATAAATCACCACTCCATCTGATGCCAACTGTGTTAAAAGTGCTGAAAGTTCTACTTTGGATTTCTCTTTCTGTTGACTCTGCCTTTGTTTCAAACACAAGTGATGCAGCGTTTGTGCAGAGGATTTTCAGCTTTACTGTTACTGGTATTACTACTACTAGTACTACTACTACTACTACTACTGTAACTATTACTGCTATTACTACTACTCCTGCTACTACTACTACTACTTTACAGCTACTCATAGGCCCTCGTGACTTTTTACTCCCTAGACACTATGATGTCATAACTTTAAGCTTTACCTTCCTCCTGAGCATACACCAAACTTGTATTAATAGCTCTAAGACAAATCCACATTAATCACAATGTAAACATGAGGTGAAATGAGGCAGAGGTCCCGATGAATCCTCCTCATATCATCCCAGGCTACATTTTCTAATTAGGTTCGGCAGACACAGGCCCACGATCTGTGTTTTCACTGATCAATGGTGGCATTTAGCTTAAACACTTTAAATCATCTTTATGTTTCTGTTCCTATCACTTAAATTAAATTCTCTATTCTGGGAATGAGAGGACACTAATACGGGAACTGACCAACCTATCACACTACATAAAAAGTATTTTTTAGTATATCCTAAAGTATATGAATTATACACAGCTATTTTTCTTCACATTATTATAGTGCTAGTACGTTCCCTAAGCTATTTATTTATTTTTCTAATTTGTCATTTTTTTTATGATTGCTGCATTTTTTTTTACCTGGAAACAAATAAGAAATTAGGTGTGAGGGAAAATGGAATGGAAATGAGTGACACCAAACTGGGTGTGTAGTTACTGGAGTGGCACTGATACTGATAAACACATATTGGTTTGGATTCATAGTTTCTTCTGTAAACCCCACTGCTGCTCCTAAGTACGATTATACAGAAAGTATAAAATAAATGTATTCACAGACTGTCTTCATATATTAAAATCACAGTGTGTCACCGTACAGAAATACCAGTGACAGACAGTGACAGGTCTGTGCCTCCACAGGAATGGTGTGTTTAAATGCATGAGCCTACTATATACAGACTATAAATATATACTGTATATAAGGCCAGTACAGTTTATGAGGAAAATTGTGCTTCTGAACAAATCTGAAACTGGACTCCACTTACATGTCCAAACAGTGATGCTGTCAGGGACACTGATGCTGTTGTTAATGACAGCAAACACATTTATGTTGTATTCCAGGCCTGCCTCCAGATCAGAGATGGTGCATGTGGTGGTATTCCCTGGAATCCTCAACTCCAGTTGCACTCCTGATACAGAGATCAGAGAGAAATCAAAAAACCACATAAACTCCATAATATGTAAGCACTATATTTACTTCAGTTCATGTTTTTCAGTAGAAAAAAAAATCAAAGCTTATTATTATATTATATATTTACCTCCAGGGCTGCTTGGAACGTAGGTGACCAAGAAGTCTGTCAGCATCGGTGACCCCTGCCACTCCAGATCAACAGTGCGGTCAGTCACACCTCGCACTTTTAAGTTCATTACAGGTGCCACTATAAAACAAATATAAAATGACCCAAAATTTAGTTCTTGTGTCAACTTCCTGAAATACCACTACAGTAGTACAATAGTACTACACCCACTGTGTTATAGCTCATATGGGTATTTAATGTAAAAAATAAAAGAACCATTCTTAGTAGTGTTTTTTCCTCCTCTTATATCTGCTGGATTCCAGTTGACTTCATGGAATTTTCTACATGACAAGACTTGGCCTCATTCCACACACATTCAAAAGACGTGCTCATTTGACACGTTGTGAAGTGAATGTGTTTAGCCCGCAGTCTGAATATGAGCAGTTGACTTAAGGAAGTCTTGAGAATCACACGACGATGAATCCTACTGTAGTACATTAATACTAGTAATGGCCAAAAAAAAAACTGCATTTTTTTCCTACAGTTTGATAGGTATTGTTTGGTGATTGTTTAGGAAAATAGAAGTTGGCCCATAGTTAAAGACTCATTCTAATAAAAATAAAAGTTGCATGAAAAGATTTGCATCCTATAGTTGATGACCTTGAGATGCTTTAAGTAAGTTTAAGTATTTAAAAAAAGAAGTTCACTTTACCATACAAAACCTTCGATGTGTTCCCTCAGGCCGTCACTTTAAATGTAAATGTGGCAAATGTTCTAAATCTGGAAACTATTGCTGCCCTCTACAATGTGCATTCTTATCAACTTATATACATATATACATATACATATATATATACATATATATATATGTGTGTGTGTGTGTATACCTTCACAACACAGTCACTGTCAACAAAAGACGGCAGTACTTGAAGTATCAAGGGCATGTGTGTTAACTGAGAGACAGAATCTCTGTCACTCATCTGGTCTGAAGTAGTAATTCCATAAACCAGAGTGATGACAGTGGAATGTAAATTCTCAGGCATAATCAGCAGTGCAGGCCTCTTCGGTCTACCAAAACAAAGAGTTAGAGGAGGAGGAGGAGGAGGAGGCGTCAGGTGAAGGATAGAAAAGAAGAAAGGACAGGACAAAAATGCAAACTGTTCCAGGCTGTGGGCATGAAGGGTCGGATGCGCAGAGGACAGCAGAGAATTTCAAGGGGAGAGAAAAAAAGACCAGAGAGAATCTGCTTGAGGAGAATAGATGACACCGAACGTCGTCTTAAAAAGACAGGACGATAAAAACAAAGAGCAAAGTGAGACAGAGTGAGGAGTAAAGGAGCGCTGAGGGTGATAAAGTGATAAACAACCTCTCATCTTATCATCATCTCTGTGTGTCCTGTGACACAAGACTCCACAACATCGCACAGAGACCCCCCCTCTCCCCCGGGGGAACCTTTGTACACTTCAAGTAGCAATTTCACAGAGTTCCTTCACACACACACACACACACACACACACTACAAATGGATGCTTCCTTTAAAGCAGTTTGCTCATTCCCATACAGTAAAGATGCACTGGGGACTACGCCTGCATCATTCCCTCAGTTAGACATGGATGCAATAACCTGTGGGATTGAAGAAGATTGAATAAATGAGCTCACGCAGTGGAAGGAGAAGACGAGCTGGTAAAAAAAAATAAAGACCATCGAAGTGAAGGGCAAACTCTCAGGAGATCAATCTGGTAAATGTTGCTCTAAAAAGTTAAGGTGAGAATGTTAAAGCTGAATCTGTGGCTCCTTCAGTCAACTCTCTACAAAGACCTTAACTTTCAAAATGTCATTTTGTTGTTGTTATGTGAAAGGTCAATAAGAGCCAGTTAAATTAAATGCAAATGCTTGTTTACTTGATTAAAATTTGACTCCCAGGACAGGAGCAACCAAACACCAATCAACGTTTTCTCAACTGCAGAATGTCAAGAGTGTCCCTGTCCTCAGTGAGCTGGCCGCTTTCCAAACCGTGGCAGCACGGTGCAGTTCCTCACACACGCTCGGTGTTGTTGGCACTTTATTCATTTCAGTTGGAGGACGCTGTTATCTGAACCAAACAAATAAGTCCAAGTCTCAACAACTTCCCTGCGCAGACTCTTCCCCAGATCATAAAAGAGTGTGTGGACACATTCAACTAACCATTAAAATGTTAATTCTCATCTACAGAGATTACACTCGACACTGACGCCCACTGGTGGTGGCCCCCTAGATGAATGCAAATAGTGTGCAACAATTCCTCAGGCGTGTATCCTTCCAAAGTTTTGCTGGCTGAAAGTTATTCAAGAATCTTGCCTGAAGTTTCTTAGTCTCGGAAGACTTATTTTCACTTTGTACTAATAGAAACAGAAAGGTCTACGGAAAAACTCCAGCTGACAGCAGAGGTCACAGCTTCATTTATAGAGTTACTTACCTTTAGGCTCATCAGGGATTATCTACACTATATATATAAAGAAATATATATAATTTAAAGTTAATATATAGATAATTTAAATGTATATATATGTGTATATATAAATATATATAAATATATATAACCTTTAGGTAAGTAAAATATATATACACAATTATACACATAATATACAATGTCTCTCCATTAGCAGTAGTGCCACAGGAACTTACCTTTAGGCTAGTCTGAAATTATCTACTATATATATATATAAAGAAAAAAATCTCACAACCCTATTCCTTTTCTGTGCCGACTTTAATGTTGGCACCACACAATGAAGTGAAGCAGGTAATGCTCTCCTAGCAATCTCCAAAACTAGATCTGTCCCTCAGACTGCCAGGAGTGCGGATTGTGGCTCTACAAAACATGTTATCGTAGCTCCAGAATCCAAAGGGGACATATTTGCACCATTTTATCTGACATTTGGCATTGTGCTTGTTGATGTAAGAGTTTCCTGCAGCTGCTTGGCCAAGAAAATAAATAACTAAAGCCAGGCCACCACTGTCCAAACACCTACCTTTTTACTTTAATGTCACTTTAGTTTGGAACTGTGGTTACCGACTGGCAACTTTCCATGTTTTAAGTCTCAGCACAGCAACAGAGCATTCTGACACTTGTTGGTTGCATTAACAGTCAATATTAGTAATGTACATTTTTCTCTCTGTTTGGACAGTTCAAAACTATAAACAGTGAGATGAGTGTACATGTCGACAGATGGTAAAACCTACTGTGAAAAATCAAATGATCTCTCCATTAATTCTGTCCAACATTTCTATTTCTCCATACTATCTATACATATTCTACACTGATATCTTTGCTTCTTCCAGTTTTTGGCAGCTGGAGGTTTATTCTGACTTGTTATTATTCATGAACCTCCTGGTGACTACATTCTAGTTCAGAAACTCAGGTCAAGATATTGCAGCAGAAGAATTCACAAAATGGTCAATTGTTTGTAGCCTCTTTGTTTTTGTCTCACAGCTGATAAATAGTTGCCTGCTCCTTATGCATTAGATTAGTAGTTTTGGAGCCAAGCAGAAACTGTGCTTTATGGAAAAAAAAATCTGCCCTTCTCTGTTCAAAGTCCACTCTCTCCAGCTGCACATTCCCCCACGCTCCACTTTGATCATCTCCACAGTTGAACTAATTGGTGCCAACTGTGTGAAGCATTCACCTTGCCTCGTGGTGTACTTGCCCTGCGGTGGTGGGTTAAGGATGTGTGGATACATATGTTCATACACATAAGGTCTGATGCAAATGACTCAAACTTGGATAAAAGTCAACTTGTAGATATATTTAGATCACGTTGTTGAAACTTCAAACCGCCTTCATTATTTCTGAAGGAAAAAGATGCCAAAACAGTATCATTTTTTGGTACTAAAAACAACATTTTAAAGCTGCCAGCCAACAGTTCCTTCAGCCGCTTCATTCAGTATTCAACCATCCATTCCTCCTGCAACAATTGTCTACTTAGCAACTAATTGCAGAGAAATCAGGAGTGTATTCAAGCTCATTTGGTCAGATAATAAACCTGAGGACAGCACAGAGAGATCAGGCCCAGTATTATCATCTGCAGTCCCTGTCGTCCTTTTGACTGCTGCTCTGTCCTAAATCATTTGTCTCCTATTTGACAGTTGCATTAACTTGAAGAGGGCAATCAGATATTCAGGGTTTTTCTTTTTTCTTTTTTTTTCAACTGTCTCTGAACTGACTCTGCCCAGCAAATCACATGTCACACAATCTGTATTTAAAGCTCAGAAGGATCATGGTGATTTCTGTAAGTGGTTCACTGGCATATTATTGTTGGTCTTAAACATCTCCACTCTATTAAACTCCACTCCAAACACATTTATGACTGGGCAGCACAAGGTCAGCTTGAAGCTATAATTTAGAAAAGTCTTGTGAAGAAAAGAAACTACCTGTTTTTTAAATGATTTTCAACAAAAACAAACCTAAAAAATAGGTATCTAAAACCTGCTTTCAAGTGTTGATTTGAAATACTCATCATTGTCTAAAGTATAACTCATGAAGTTTTTGTCTGCACACCTGTCTGTCTACTGCTGCAGCCCTGATTTTGTCAGGAAGCCTTTTCTTTTCCGATATTCATCCTGAGCTGTTAGAGCTTCGCAGTGTAATTGTGACGGCTTTGAACTAAGAAGGCTGCTCTGAGCTTCTGGTTCTAACTCTCACTGACAGCAGGTATTAAGGCAGGGGAAACTTCTTTGTCTACAATTTCTGCTGTCGGGGAGTGAACCACAAATGTCAGACAAACCACCCTTTGTAGTTGACAACAGTTACGGGATTAAAGTGAATGGAGGAATGGAGGCTAATGGCCTACCCGAGTTGCAGTCGTCTCCGGCGTAGGCAGCCTGGCAGTTGCAGAAACCTTCTTTGCAGACTCCTTTGTTGCTGCAGTTGTTGGCACAGTAGAGCAGCGAGCAGTCTTCCCCCACGTACCCGGGCCGACACTGGCACGTGCCGTTGATGCAGAGTCCCTGGTCCGAGCAATCGTTCAGACACCTGCCGACCATGCAGTCCTCACCGGTGAAGGACTCCTCACACACACACTCGCCGTCGATGCACAGGCCCCGACCCGAGCAGTCTGAAGGGCACCGTGGTTCCGAGCAGTTGTCTCCGCCAAAGTCACGGTCGCACACGCACTCCCCTTCCACACACACCCCCTGCCCTGAGCAGTCGTCCGGGCAGCGTGGCTCAGAGCAATTTTTGCCGCCCCATCCCTCTTCACAGATGCAGCCGCAGAGGTCAAAGCTGAAGCTGCCATGACCGCTGCAGCCTGGGACAAAATCCAAACGACCTACGCACAGGGGAAATATTGATATATTCAAAGCAGTATTAGCCAGGGGGGAAAATAATCGTTTCAACTTACGATGCATTTTATAACCATGACAGAGGAAACTATTCTCAGGAGTTAGAATGGTTTGCATTTCAAAGAGACAGATCAGTTTATCAACTCGAAAGCTGAATCAGATCAAATATCTAATCCTCTTATTGTCTGCACGTCTCTACGGCCTGGATGGCAGAAACAGTTGTCACGACTTCAGTGAAAAACCTGTCTCATTTTTCAACAATCCTCTCGGAGCTCAGCTCTCTATCCTCATTCTGAGTTGGATTGTGTCTGTGAAGATAATCATGCCCCCACCAGGGAGAGGGAGTGTTCTCCGAAAATATATGAATGGGCTGATACTGTCAGTGGAGCATTTGACCAGAATGTACAGATTCATTAATAACCCTATTTCAATTATTTTAAATGACTGACAAATGGTTTTTTTTTTTTTTGTAGGTCTGATCTGGAATTATTTTAAATGACTGACAAATGTTTTTTTTTTTTTTTTTTTGTAGGTCTGATCTGTTGCTGGGTCTTTACGATGTTTAAAAAAAATACCAAATATATTTGCTCTTTTTAGTGCAGTGTCAAAATATACTGAAAGATCCTACACTGGTATTCAACATTTATGAATTATATAATAAAAAGTTAAGCAGAAAAGCAGGTCTTTTTCCTCCGCCTCACTGCGACTCACCCATGGCTGAGCTCTCACCACAGCATCCAGAGCCACACTGAGCTCTGAGCATGGACACCTCCCTCTCCAGCATCTCCACCCTGGTGGCGAGTTGCTGGATTGTGGCTGTTGCTGCACAACCACATGCAGCTTTGGGGATGTTGATGCGGTGAGTAAACGTGACCTGAAAAAGTAGAGGAGACTTTTTAAAATGCGTTTGTTTTGTCTATGATGTACAGACGGACAGAGCTGTGCAGATTTTGTGTCCACATTTTATTACATCCAGACTGTTGATTTATTTATTTTGTTGCAGTACTATCGTCAATTGTTTTACAATAATTAAGAGAAACTACAACAGCATGAATGAACAAGATGTCAAGTGGAAACAGTCGTCATCTATTCCCATGACTAATCACCATATTATTCACCTTGGAGTAACTGTACTGTTATAGATTATTTGTCCAGTTCCCACAATTCATCAGGGTATTGAACTAATAAATAGGGACGGAAAATCTGTCTAGTGTCTTTTATGCAAAGCACATTTTAATATCCTTGAAAAGTGGAGAAAAAAACCCACCTGGCTGTCCGCGTCCAGAGTCTGTTCAGTGTATTCTGTTGCTTCAGTTTGATCCACTTGACCCTCTGCAGGAGGTCGTGACCCCAGCTCAGCATTTGGACCTAAATATGAAAATATTTTTGTTTTTAATCCTGAAAATTTTACATGACTCGGATACAAATAGTTACAAAAACAAAGTGATCACCGTCAGGCGGGTCTGATGCCTCCAGGTCTACAGAACACAGAGATTCAGCAGGGACATTAATGTTGTAGACATGGTTAAAGACCACCGATTGATCACTCAGTGTCATGTTGGTGGACGGAGCAGGCTGATCCCTGCCCAGGGTCTGTCTCCTCACACGAGTTGTACGAACCAGCTTCCCATCCACTGATGGAGCAGCATGAGTAGCACCCTGCGGGGAAAGAGCATAAATGAAAAAAAAGGGACTGCACATGGACTCGGGGTTAGAAATTGTTCTGTACTTTCTAATTTAGGTTTACAGAATGACAGGGGGAAAAAGCCCCGGGGGGGGGGGGGGGGGGATGACACTAATATAAAAGCATATGAAGGATTTTCTCTGTGGCTGCAACACTGACATAACAATTTTCAGGCTGAAAATGTGTGTTGTTTTCAAGACTCCGAAGAAACATTTTTTATATTATACATATTTTAGTCCTTAAAAAAAACTATTTTTTTGTGTTAATGGCTTAAAACGTAAATAAATAAATGGACAAATCTGAACCTTTCAGCTGGGTTATGGATGGTAACATTAAATTATAACAATAGGTTTTAAAAGGTTTTTTTTATATATTGTAACAGATTCACTGAAATGTTTCACTTTCTAGTCATTTCTTCTGACGGCTTCAGTCTTTTCTCCGTGTTGGCAGGACTGTGTATTTAAAAGCTTTTCTTGCCAAGTTCAGTTCAAACACTTGGTATCAACATTCGTGGGCTGTATTACAAACAAAAGCCAATTCATTTCTATTCGTCTGATGTCTCTTCTGTTCAAACACCGCTAAGACGGAGGCCAAATAATGGATTTGAAGAAAATCATTTGCCAGTGAGAGAGGCCGAGGGACCAACAGTGGAAAGATGATATTTTAATAAATAAATGTGGAAAAAACTCCACAGCCTGGGGGTTAACGGTTTCCTCCAAATGTATGCATGGCACATACGAGATAATTAAGTAAAAATATAGATGTTTGTTAGATTTACAGAGTAACATTTTAACTGTATTAAATAAAGCATTGTCTTTAGCTTTTCTTTTTTTAGCTGATTCCTTCAGGCAGGGATGCCCACACTTGAAAATGTTGGAAATATTTACTCATTTAAACTAAAGATGTACAATATCTGTTTGGGTAAATATTTAATGCATAGAGCTGTATGCCACAATTCAATATGTATATATACAGTATGCAGTGAGGTCAACTATCTCCATGCCCTGGCCTTATACAGTCCATGTCCAACTTCTCTGATCTCCAGTAGCAGACAATGCCAATTCCATTTTATGCAGTTATATAATGTATAGAATACTGATAAGTTCAAGGGCTGCGTTTTTTTCCTAGAAGAAGCCAGCATTTCCATGATGTATGAGTAACGGTGGCTAAACTGGCAGCTTATTTAGCCGAGCTTTGTAAATGAACACGAGGCTCTGTTGTAGTCTTTGAGTTGCAATCGACTCCATTACTTACACGAGCATCTGAATGTCTGATATCAAGAGCTGCAGCTGAGGGTTGGTGGAGGCTGAGAGAACAACAGTACAACAGCTAACATGGTGTAGTCGAACACAACAATTCTGGTCGTTCTGTTCAAAGTGCAAGACTGGATTCAAACCAATCAGTGGTTAGTGTCAGCTATTCCAGATTGCTGCCACGAATGGTTGATTGCATGTAAATAATAAATGTAAAAAATGCCCCTGCAGCTGCATGAAAATAATAATAATAAAAAAAACAGTGGTGTTTAACAAATTTTACCTGGAGAGCAAGGAAAAGAGCCAGAGCCAGGAGCCAGGCTGTTGAGGGCAGAGTAGCCCTGTGCTGCTGCTGCTGCTGAGAGGGTGGCATGATGGAAGGAAACTTCACCTGAGGATGAGAGAGAATCAGAAGAAAATAGTGTTTAATATGGACAATCAGAAATGGTACGAGGAAAAGTAAGATTTTCATTAGTTGTTGGTTCTTTAGTTAGTTAATTAGTTAGGTAATTAGACATACAAACTCTTTTGCTAATACTGATATAAATTTAACATTTATTTTCATTTGAATTCACAAAGTCTTCACCACTATAACAATTCAACCTCAATATTTTATTTTGTTTTTTTGTGGGGACAGTGTTCTTTGGGTTACATGACGATCCCTCACTTTTCCAAACAAACAATATCTAGCTAGAGTACTGTTTTACTTAGAGAACAATTCTAGACAAACCCCAGTTTGGCTCGGAGACGTCTAAGACGTCTCTACTTCTTTGTTTGTTTTTTTTCTGTTTGTCTTCAACATCACAGTTTCCAGCTGTTCCAACCTCCAGTCTCTTTCGTCTCATTAAATCCAGACTGGACCACGTCCTTCATGTGGTTTAGGCCGAAATGTTGTGTTAAATACATGTGTAGCAATACTACAGCAAAGGATCATGATTCTCTTCTCCCTAACGTTGTGTATTTAAGTGTGTTTGCACAGCAGCTACTAAGTGTGTGTGGGTGTGTGTGTGTGTGTGTGTGGGGGGGGTAATCGGTGACATTTTATGCTCTTTAAATGGTAAATAAAGTCCTTTTTATCTAATGTAAAGTAAGAGGATTTGGAGAGAAAATAAAAAAGAGAGCTCTCCAGGAATGGTGGATATTACAGAATTAACTTTAAACCCTTGAATGTATTTTACTGTATATTACTAAATATTTGATCTTTCCACCTGGGAGGAATATCGAGATGCAGTGCATGAGCAGGGCTAAGATGGATTTCAGCAAAGTTGGGTTTAAGTGATTCCACTCTAATCCTCTCTCCACTGAGGAATGAAAACAGGGGTGGAGTGAAATTAAACCTGCACTTAGAAAAAAAAGAAAAGAAAGGAACCCCACCCGTCAAAACAAACAGTAATTTGCAGCACTTTTTAAGCATGCAGGCTGCATTTTTTGCAGGCGCATACAGACATACCTGAATATGTAAAAATGTTAATGTCTCTGGAAGAATTTTCCTTTCCAAACTTTTTGGCTTCCCCATAAGGACACCCAAGAATGATGAACAACGTTCTATGAGCAATCACCTCCGTGTGTGTGTGTGTGTGTGTGTGTGTGTGTGTGTGTGTGTGTGTGTGTGTGTGTGTGTGTGTGTGTGTGTGTGTGTGTGTGTGTTTTACTTTGGTAACTACTTTGGTAACTGTGTGGTAAACAGAATCACATAAAGGTTGTTGACAACTGCAGTACATCATAAAGGACCCAGTGGGGGAGACTGCTGGTCATATGTTACAATCTGTAGCTTCAGACAGTGTTGCTACGTTTTTAAGGATGACTTTGGCCTTGTTGGAATCAGCTGTCATCTGATTTCACCCAGCCCAAAGCTAAAGAAACAGAAAACGTTCCACTTTGAGACCTCCCCCTGGAGCATGCAGCTGCTGTCGGACACACCACAAGCTGTTAAAATGCTGAATCTGCAGAAGAAACCATAAGCATGCAGATGGCGGTGGAGTAACGTGGACAGAACCAAGTGGAACCATCTCCTTCAAAGTCAGCGGATGTAACGTACACCTCTCAACCTTTAGGATAAAAAATAATCAAAGGAATAACAAGGTTTATTTTCATCAAAATTAATTGACAAAAACTCTTACACATTTGTAGGTACACCGTCAGTTCTGAGTGACCAGTTTACCTGCTGCCTACCAATGTAGGGTTTGTCAAACAGATTACAACACTGAGAAAATATTTGACATAATTTAATAAATAAATTTTGTTAAGGTCTTTTTAATTTGATGTATACCTTGGCTTTGGAAGGCGACTCCTGCATTGGCCGCCGTACTGGAGGAGAAATAAATCACCGGCCAGGATGATTTATTAGTTCTGTTTGATCAAACTGGCAGGCCAGAGATAACAGATAAAAGAAGTGGGCCAACAAGCAGAGCACAGAGGAGTTCTCCGATCAAATGTCCCCATTATCTTGTGATTTGACTAAAATATGTAAATGACTTAGCATTTGCTTGTAAAGATTGAAAGAGTACGTCAATACATTTTCTCAGGGCAGAGAATGAAGTAAAGCTCAGAGTGACAGGGGTTTTTATATAAAAGGGAAGACCCCAAATATCACAGGTATAAATATCATAGAGTTGGTAATGAACCAAAGCAAACAAATAATTCAATGTATAGCCAAAGACATTTAAATTATTTTTTAAAAATTTAAATGTGTTTAATCCTGATATAAATACACGCTCTTCAGTAGTAACAGTAACAACTAACTGAAATCATATACTGTAATGTAAACGCAAACACAAATAACAGGTAGGACAGACATGACTGTTTACCCAATAGAACGACTAATTACTGTCTAAGATCGTGTTTTACTGCAGATGTAATATGACAGAAACAATCATGCTGTCAACTATGGTTTTCCCGTTTATCACTTGATGCAATATCTTTGGAATGAACGACCAACACAAAGCAGAGCGCTAATATTGTCTAATTGACTGACTGCCAAACAAATCACTGCAGAAAGAGCTGAAGCCCAGGTGATTTGACTATTTGACAGAGACTCTTGTAGCTATCTCTGTCTTTCATTGACAATTCCCATGGTTCCATGGTGTTAGGAGTCCCTTTCATGTCTATCTTCTTTTTTAATATTTTTTAAAAAGTTTTAGGAACTGATGAGATATGTTCTACAAAGCTCTAGTTGCAGTTAGTATAAGTTATTTTTTAAATAAAATATAAATTCTCACTCCTGTTTAGTTGAACACAAAGCTGAAATACCTGCAGGAATTATCAACATGTAAGAGTCCCTCTATTTTTATAGCTTTAAACCCCATCTGCTCCCACCTAGTGGAAGGGTATTTAATTGTTCTGGCTTATTTATATTTATATATAAGTTTTTCAGGTCAACTAAGTGACACTTAGACACATATTTTTTCACAGTGCACCTGATGATCTTTCACGACACTCTTTGTACAAGGCATCTACTAAATAAACGTAGTTGGATCATACTGGAGGAGAGCCACGCATCCTTTGAACCTCACTGTACGAGGGAGACTTCTCTTATATGCATGGAGAGTGTTTCCCTCAAGGCGGCCGATTCTAAATGGTGACTAAATATAGAACTAAGAGTTATGTTTAACACTGACAGAGATGGAAGTTTGAAAGAGATTCAAAGTCACAGAGATTATACTCAAGTCATTAGGCCACTGTGCAGGCTGATGCCCACCAGCATCTGCCACACAGAGTGAGGGGAGGATTTTCACTGTGGCTCAATCAGGGACAGATCCACTCCTTCAAAGAGAGTCGATCTGCTTCAGGCAGAGAGCAGTAGTGGTTTGATGTCTTTTCTTTTTTCAGGACAGTGAGGACATATTGACATGAGACATTCTACCAACATTAGACAAGTTAGTGGATTCACCACAACCATAAATACACAATGTGCACATAAACTACGTAGAGTTTAATAAATTGAGCTTGGCATGTTTGACACAGGCCAAACATTTTGCAAGCAGGTACGAGGTGTGTCAGAAGTAAAACCAGAGACAAATCCAAGAGACTACTCTTCCCAGGCACATCATGTAAAACACAAATTGACATTAATGTCAACGGATGCAATGAAGGCGCATGAGTCAATTAATCAATTGACATATAAAAACCTTAAAAAATTGGCTGCAGACTACAGTGATCACAACATATTCAACAAATAGTACCAGCCTGGAGAAGACATACTGAGTACTACTCTTGTTACCTTTGTATTAATTAATGTATGTTAATGTACTTCATGTCTCATACACATAGTAAATGTGTGTTCTGATGTTTCAGGAGCTTCCTGCTTGTATGCAGTCAGCAGCATACTGTGCAGCTTTATTTCAGCACCAGGAGCTGTCCACCAACTGGTAAAACAAGGAGTTACAGGACACTAATGCAATAACTCTTAATATGTATGGAAGTTTAGTATTATAAATTCAAACTCAGTCAAGACAAAAAATAAACTCCCTGTTCCAGTTTGAATTACAATCATCAGTGCAGTGTCAGAGAGAACAGTCACAACGTTCAGAGTGTACAAAGATGGGTGCTCTGAGCATCTGCAACATGAAGAAATTAAAAAATAAATATTGCAATCTTGTTTTTCTAAGTTTTAATGATATTATGTTTCACCTTAAGGTAATATGTGTTTTTGTGGAACTGAAACACACAAAAATGACATTATGTATTTAAGTATATTTGAGGGCAATAACAGCTTTGGGTTTTATTGATTTGATAGAAAACTTTGCAAAATCAACTGCCGACGAATGACTCCTAATTTTATAAACAAATCATATAGACAGTTGTTTTTAATTGAATTGTTTTCCACCCACTACTGTCACATTTTTTGGCACCATAACTCATAACTTCACTGCTGAAATGATCTGTCAAATGTTGAAGACCTTGAAAGTGATCCCTCTAATCCATATCTTTCTTGATGATAAGGTAGGAAATATATTAAACCACAGCCATTTAGTGTGTCACTGTATCATACTGACTGCTCTCAAAAGACCAACATTTTTTTAAATATACTGTGAATTTCCACATTTTCTAAAATCCCAGTCCTCCTAGAGCTCACCTTTCAAATTATGTTTCATTTGCCTTATTTTATTCTCTTATGACAGACGGAAATATAGTTAAAGATATAAACATAAATTGAGATTTAATTTTACTGGTGTGCACATTTCAGAATCCATTTGGCTAATTAGTAAGTGACCTTCAATGCACTGTGAGCAGCACTGTGAGGGAGCAGGGAAACGTTGGTAGGATGTTCATTATGTCTAATCCCTGGAAAATTCAATGCACTTTTCACTTTGGGGATTAGTGGAATTTGTGTTTGCACTAAACAGGTCAGAAGTTCACACTGCAGTAGGTTTAATGCTGCGTTTTGGCTTT